TGTGTAAACTGCAATTAAAATAAGAGTAAAACTTATAAGCAAAACACAACAGTGATGATCTAAAAATACCAGAGACGTTGGCAAAATACAGTATAGGCTACCGGTACTTGATCACACGATAAAGAAGGCATGAATAACTTATGAATAAAGAGCAGACAATAACTTGTCCACACAGTGTTTTACTTATTCTATACTAATATGAATTTGGAATGAAAATCATATATTAAGCAAGTAGGAACACTCAGCAAATGAATTCCTAAATACAGAAATATCTTCACATAAAATATGACTTACCGATTTTTTCGGCTAATAATATCACAAACAAGCAGGTACTTCAATATTTAACATTTAAACAATCTTAACTGTATGGAAAAAGAATAATATATTAGACCAAATCAGAGAAGCACAAACCCTGTCAGCCTGTTCAACAAAATCCTGAAAATGGCGCAACCACGAGACAAACTTGCGCAACAATCTAAAGTACCACAATGAGGCGACAAAGGGCAATAAATAAAATGACGGCTGAGCCATCATTTACATGGCTCCCCCAGAAATGCTATTTCTATACTAAAATAAAATTACAATTTCACAATGTCTATTTCTGGCTCCCTCGTCGGGAATCTTCTCCCGTATCTCCACTTTCCAAGAAAAGAATCAACTTTTGGATTGGACGATCAAGAAAGAGAACATCCTTTATACCCTTTCCTCTCTCATCGAGTGTTGAATCTCCTATGTGAACTCGAACTCTTCGAACATGACCATCTGCATCGGGATAGACATCAACAATTCTTGCCATCTTCCACTGATTTCTTGGTGTATTTTCGTCAACGACTATGACAATATCACCAATTTTTATTTCAAGCTAAAATCATTAAATGTTAGGCACATATTGAAAAGAACTAAAATCTAGGTGGCGGGGCGAGTAATTAAAAATGCTTCTGTTAGTTTCTACTCACAGATGCAATAAATTTGACACCCAAATGTGTAAAAAATGTGAAGACAATGTTAATTTAGTTTCAGTGGCTTCTTTGTTCTTGTATAGTTTTGGCAATTCGTCCATAACAGGGTTTTAGTTCCTTTTCAATTGCTCCCCGCATTAGTGAATCAATATCAAGTATTGCTTTTCCGACTTGATTTCAACAAGACTGAAAACCCCTTCTTCACACAAATAAGTCGTAGGCATCTGTACCAGGAGAGCAACGGCCTTTTCTGACAGATTTTTGTACTCGGGGAAATTCAAAAAGAGAAACCCAAAACTCCCGAGTAATCCATTTTGCGGAATGAAATACTTTGATTTAAATACTCCCGGAGTTCCAACAATTCTTCGTCTTCTGTTGGTTCACTAGTAAATGGCTGCATTATCCACGAGTTTTCTTCCAGACGTCTATCCAGGTGTTTTTATCTTCAGGAAAGTACAAAGCATTATTTATCACCCCATAATTGACCAACAATTAGGGCAGACATGGTATTTATCGTTGAAACGACCTCAAACTCCCACCCGGACTCTTTCAAATATTGATTTAAAAGAGGAAAGTCAATGAAGTTTCCTGAAGAAGCATTGCTTTTCCAGAGTTGAATTTTCTTCTTCAGAGCATTGATATCGCTGATCGAAATATATCATCTCCTTGAAGACTGACGTTCACTTGATTAAAACGATCAAAAATCGACGCCATGTACGCTAATTTTGCAACCCAATATATATTGCGAAACTTGGTGTTTTTTTGGTCTCCTCTATCAGTGTAATACGCCTAATTGCTCGCGAAGTTCAAACACACGGAAAAGAACTTTTCCTCGGGACAGCCACCGTACTTCTGAATGTAGAAGAAGTTCTTTGAAAGTGGCGGCTGTTTCTTCACACAGTTTCGAGAAAAGTCTCGTTTGTTTTGAACTATTCTTAATCGTATTCACAAAATACACGACTTCCCGTAAAACATAGTGTAATTCATTTTTTTTTCAGCAGATCAAGCGACGTGCACGGCAGCCGAAATCATCAAAACCCAGACACGTGCCTGAATTATCTACATAATTTGTGATGTAACAATGTGCTCAAGTCGGTTCATTGCGTGAATGCCCTTTTCATACTTCATATGCGTCGCGTTTGCATTGTTGTCTCTAATTGAATATTTTAAAAGTTATTATATTAGAGCTTACAATTCCTGATCTAGGATATACACCCTTCGTATACCCTTTATCAGTTGTATACCCTTCGTATACCTTTTATCAGTCGTATATCCTACGAATGGTCTGGTACACAATTAGGCATACAGTATACCCGGTTGAAGAGCACTGCACATGACAATTCGAGCGCTAGCGCCGCTATTCAATCTTAAGGCCCAACGATCATATTTCAGACTACTCGCAAATTTGAAATGTGGAATTCTTGACGTCGAGCAAAATCCGCAAAGAAGTTTTTTAGTCCGCGAAAAATCTCTTGCTCAACAACATACAAAGATCTGAAGATACGAGAGGAAAAAACATCGGGATTTGTAATTATTACTGAAAAAAAACAAGAAAATCTATGCTCGGTGAAACATTTTGGGAATTCGCGACGCCATGCTATAATGTCATAATATTATGAATTTCAATCATTATGAAAATAGTGACGCAACAAACGGTTTTGAAGAGATAAAATTACGTCATAATATGCATTCATAACTCAAGATGAATTATGACCACATAGATAAATGATAATAATTAGTATTGTGAGGCGTGGGCATTTTCCTCCGAAATTTAACCCTTTGCATCATGTTATGTCTAAAATGATACAAGTTGTTTTATGTTTTTCTATATTGAACGTAAAACGTTCATAACGTAAAAATTTTCACGACCACGGACGCGTGTTAGTAACCAGCTCTGGTTCCTCGAGACTTCCCTTTCCCAGTGTAATTAGAATTTTCTCATAATTTGTGCTCGAGTGATATTTTTCACTTGTTGGAAAAAATAAACTTGACTTGTAATATTTAAAAATCGTAAAATAGTATTTTATCGAGTCTATTTATAACCCTGCGGTTCCCGACCTTTTACGGTATACGAGCGTATCGTATAATTAGGCAGTCACCTTGATTATGTCTAACCCAGTGACATTCTCAAGGAGAGTGAGTATACTTCCCTTTCATATCATCATATTTTTGTTATTTGTTCAATTTTAAAAGGATCTTCGGCTAGTTACAGTGGTTCCCAAACTTTTTGGAAAAAATTCCGTGACGGACCTCTTGCATTTTTTTTAATGATTACTGACCTTGTGCAATAAAACAAAACATTAAAAGATCAAAACGAAAAATCAATGAGCCGTATAGTGAAACGAACAAAAGAATATAAAGCGCAACTCTATTGACAAGTGTGACATCCAGTCCTTTTTCGATATTTGGTAAACATGCAAAAGGACAACTCCGCAGTTCGTAGCATGAATTAAACTCTCTCGACGCTAAGCTTAATGAAATGCAATGCCTTTGGCCTTATTAAAAGAAAGTATAGTTGCAACATAGGCTTTTTTCATATTCGCAAATTGGGTGTTTAATGACTCGTTTTCGACTATATCAAGACCATAGTCAGTTTTTCAATAGAAGAAAATTAAACTCACTCACTTCCTCTCTCTCTCAGAAGCGAAACTTTGAACAATTATAGTCTAGTCCAGGGGTGGGCAACCCCTGGCACGCGTGCCAAATTTGGCACGCGAGCCCATTTATTTGGCATGCGAGAGAGGCCTCGGAAACCATATCATTCTTCTACAGATAAAAAGTTTCAAGACTGAATTATCTGATGAAACTAGTTGTTCGTTTCAATCGTTTATTCAATATCGTTTGTTAACAATCCGATATTTATTTAAACGTTTTGTCCTTTCATGACATATGGCTACAAAGAAATATATTTTGACGTAACAACTGAGTGGTGCGCCGAGAAGTGCGCAGCATTCATTTGGCTATATTCTTACGTATAGTTCGTCTGTGCCAACCTTTTTATTCGTCTTTGCTTGATTTATGAGGTTGTGCATCATGTTGGTTAGAAATGCTTGCTAACTTACTGTTATAAATTGATTTCGGAAGAAATACAAGCGATTAGGGAAGGGAATACAAGTGCAGAAAACTAACTATTGCGTGAGGATGCAATTCCCGAAAATTTTTCGTGTTTAAAAAACTTTGCAATGGCATTACGCTCCACGTTTTCATATACATATATTTGTGAAGCTCTGTTCTCAGTTATGCAATTTATTGAGTCTCGTAACAGGAGTAGCCGAAAGATGAAACCAGTAGTTCGCGTATTTCTTTGAAAGATACAAAATATAAACCCAGCGTGAAATCTCTATCAGCGGTAATGCAGCAGCAGAAGTCTCACTGATAGAAAATGATATAAAAGTAATCAAATCTGTTAATCAGACACACATTTACCTGAATAGTGAACCTGTCTGTACATGTTTCAAAGGTTTATTATTATGTATTTTTTCTTTGGTAGTAGCAAAGCATTGTTTTTAATTTTGGTCGGCACGCGGAAGAATTTTGTCGTTAAATTTAGTCGATTATGGCACGCGAGCCGAAAAAGGTTGCCCACCCCTGGTCTAGTCAGTGATAAGATTCAAACTTTTTAGAACGGGCTCTCGTTTGTATCGAACTCACAAAAAAGAAGTTTCCCGCATTTCAGAAAATGCACTTATGCCATTATTTAAGCTGCATTAACACCACGACGCTTTAAATACATAACTTTCGAAAAAAATCGATAGCTTCAGATGCGGTTGCTATCGTTACCGAAAACTATGCTTCAAACACCTCGATCGGGTACTCGAGCTAATTTTTTCCTTTTTTAACAGTAATGGAACGCACGCAACGCCCATTCTGTTCAGGCCAAGGACCTCGGACATTCGTGGAACACGTTGGGAAAACTGGTGTATTCGTGACTTATAATTTATTATTGGATCAGACATCCGTTATCGAATTTAACATTTCCTATAGTACTATCAAAAATAAGTACTGGGTTGTTGGTTGTAAAGGCGTTGAGACTGGCTCACCATGTCATCTGCTAATGTCGACATGGAATGCCAGTCAACAACATACAAGCGAAGATTGGCTGATGATAATGATGATTCGAGCAATGTAAGCAAAGTTAAGATCAATGTGCAATGTGATACCATCAAACAAAACCACCGAGAACCTGCTATTGAACAAACGAACTCTCAACAACAGGTGGATTTCACAAATCTATGTGTGCTAATTAAAGCTACTAAGGCAGGCCGTCAATTGCGATCATATAATCCGCTCGTTGTATCGGATTCTCTAAAGAAATTAATAGGTGAATGCAAAAGCATCCGTCCATTACCTTCTGGCGACTTGCTCGTAAAATGCGTCACAACGAAGCAATTTAGCGCCTTGATTGCATGTAATAATCTAGGAAACGCTTCAACGTCGATCCTCGTCAAAACGGAAAAATACCTGAGTCGAGATTTTTCTGCACAGTGCGTTATCAAACACGTTCCAGAAGATTTGACAGTCAATGAGATAGCTTGCTTCCTTGCTAAATTCCGCGTTGTACAAGCAAAGCGACTAAAACGTAAAACAAGCTCGGGCTTTGAACTTTGCTCTACGGTCTTATTGAATTTCAGCACAAATATTGTGCCTTCTACGGTTGAGATTGGATACCTGAGGTTCAAGACCCATGAATATAACCCACCTCCGATACGGTGTTTCAATTGTAACAGATATGGGCATATTGGTAAACATTGTCGCGGTGAGAAGCGCTGCACCCGCTGCGGCGGAGAACACGAACAAGCATCATGCAATGCTACACCACATTGTACAAATTGCGGTCTTTCTCATAGTGCTGCATATGCAGGATGTAAGAGATATAAAGAAGAAGATCAAATTCAGATTATTCGTAAAAACAAAAATTTAAACTACTCCGACGCTCGCGAATCTATATATCTTTCAAAAAAGAAAGCATCTGGCCAAGTAAATAAAAATCTTTTTCTGTCCTAGGATAACTTCCCGTCTTTAAAAACAAGACGGTCGGGTCTCCACACCATTCATCAGTCTGGCAGAGAAAACACCATGCCATACCAGAACGCTAGAAACTGGTAGTACTGACATTTCTCTAGATAGCAGTGCCCAACATTCCAGGACATCTGATCGACAACGACAAGGAGATATCACCCATTCTTTATCTAAATCTGACCAATCACAGGCAGAGCGTCTTGATATAAACGAAAATGTGCCAAAACAAAGACCACAAATCACTGTAGATCCCATTCAATTTTTTGCATTTTTAACTGAGGTTATACAAAACACTATAGTTGCTAGTTCGTTCGCTAGAAAGTGTTGACATATCTTCCATAATATCCATGTCAGCCGGAAAACAATTTGGATTTGATTTAAACAGTGTAACGCCTCAGTACATGGCTTCTGACGAAATTTAATGGCGGAACTTGGGGAAATTTCTTTTTGCGTACTACAGTGGAACTGTAGGAGCATATACAGAATATTATACGAATTTAAGAAGTATATATATAATTTAGAAAAGAAACCAGATATAATCTTACTACAAGAAACTCATTTAATATCGAAGTACTCACCTTCTTTAAGAGGATATTCAATAATAAGAAAAGATAGATCAATAGCAGGAGGTGGCCTGGCTATTATAGTTAAAAACTCGTTGCCTTACAGAGAGATCTCTTTGAAAGCACCATCGCCTGTTGAAGTACAATGCATAGAAATACATGAGCATAGATTTGTCAATGTATATATACCTCCGGGAAATATTTTGAATCAAAGCCATTTCAAATTCATCCGAGACTTTCCATGTAGATCAATGTTCTTTGGAGATTTTAATGCACATCATCGGATGTGGATGAGCTCCATGACAAATTCACGGGGTAATATGCTCATGGATGCCGTTGAAGAAAATAATTTAGTAATACTTAACACTTCCCAACCAACAAGAATGAATATATCCATGAGAGCTATAAATAGGTGGTCTCTATTGGACCTATCGATTGCTACGCTTGATATATATTGCTTCGAAATGTCGCGCGGTTGTCACTGACCAGTTCATCGGGAGCGACCACTGCATAATTTTAACCTATCTTTGAGTAAAGTTCTCTCATAAAATACAATTTTCATTCTGGTCGCTGAAGAAAGCTGATTGGAATAAATTTCAATTAAAATGCATAGACACAATCAATGATTTACTGATATCAGACGACGTAGAAGTTTTTAGTAATAACATATCACATCGCTTGACTGAAGCGGCTCAACAATTCATCCCTTATACCAAAAATATCAAAAACAAATCGCCAGTTCCTTGGTGGTCATCGGAATGTGATAAAGCTGTTAGATTAAAAAGAGCATCATATTTAAAAATGAAAAGAACGTGGAATCGGAGTGACATAATAGAATTTAAAAAGCGCAGAGCGGAATGTAGACGGATAATTCTAAAAACCAAAAGAAATAGTTGGATACAATATTGTAATTCGTTGAATAAGCAGAGTAGTCTGTCAACAGTTTGGAATGTTGTTCGAAGCTTCACCGGCACTTCCCGTCATAATAATATTAATATACATGACGCTGATAAAATTTTAACAACTGACTTGGATAAGGCTAATATGCTGGGATCTGTGTTTAACTCGGTTAGTAGTACTGATAACTACTGCCAAGGATTTATTTCGCGAAAGGCAGAATTTGAAAGGAAAACACTTTTAGATCTATTTCAATCGAAAGCAACTTTTCTAGCGAAATTAATACAAATTTTTCAATAGAAGAGTTAAAGTTGGCATTGGCATCGAAAAAGAATACGTCCCCTGGTGAAGACGGAATATGTTACGACATGATCAAACACCTTCCCGACATTTCGATGAAGACACTTTTGTCATTTTATAATAAATCTTGGGCGTCTAGCTATGTTCCAAGCAAATGGTTGCATTCCACTATAATACCCATACTTAAATCTAATAAACCGGCTACCTCGCCAAATTCCTACAGACCTATAGCTTTAACCAGTCATCTTTGTAAAATTATGGAAACTATGATAGCAAAAAGACTACAATGGTTTTTAACTAAAAATAATATATTAAGTGATGATCAAGCAGGTTTTCGTCGTGGAAGATCTACAACTGACAACATATTATGTTTGCACGATGAAGTGTATAAAGCAATCAAACAAAAGACATGTCGTAGCCGTTTTCTTAGATATCCAACGCGCCCACGATATGATATGGCGTAGTGGACTCATCTCGAAGTTACACGCACTCGAAATTCGAGGACGTATGCTCGTGTGGACAAAATCTTTCCTTCAAAAAAGAACTTTTCAAGTTCGTATCGGATCCACTCTATCCAGAATATTCGAACAAGAAAATGGAATTGTGCAAGGCAGTGTGATCAGTCCCATTCTTTTTTCATTAATGATTAATGATTTACCCGCTAACATAGCGGCATCAGTATGTAAACTTTTTGCAGACGACGGAGCAATCTGGGAATCGGGCCTACAAGTTAGGAAAATAGAAGCTTCAATCCAATCATCTTTAGACGTGATAGTACATGGTGTCAACAGTGGGGTTTCACAATTTCAAAAACGAAGTCAACAGCCATGGTTTTTACCAAGGCACGACGATCACACAATATTAGATTGAAAATGGGTGGTCAAGTGCTTCCAGTAAAATCAGAGTTTAAATACCTGGGAATTATTTTTGATAAACGTCTGTCTTACAAACATCATATTAACTACATATATGAGAAATCTCTGAAAAGAATAAACATTTTAAGGCTTCTTACGGGTACATCATGGGGCGCCTCCAAGGAAGCTCTTATCGCTTTATTTCGATCAATAATAAAACCTATTTATGAATATGGAATGGAAGCTTACTTTTTTGCTCCTAATTCCTACCTGAAAAAGATATAGTTAATACAAAGCCAGTGTCTAAGAATATGCTGTGGCGCTATGAAAAGTACCTCCATTGCAGCTACGGGAGAATTACCTTTACATATCCGACATCTGCAGCTTTGTCTCAATTATAAATTTAACCTCATCTCTATAAATAATCATCCTCTAAAACATATAATTGGAGAATCTTGGCAGGAATACTTTCCCAATTCACCTCTTTTCAAACATTTAACATGTTGACAAGTTCGAATATTTTCAACAATTTGGAAGTATCGAGATATCCAGTGTATTACGATGCTCCATGGACGATAGAAAAACCAGCTGTTGATTGTGAACTCGTCAATATACTAAAACCGGTTGCAACAAACAATATCAAGGTTGTGAGTAATGATTATATTCAATCTATCTTTGAACATTATACCTATGTTTACACTGACGGATCTAAAACAGAGGAAGGAGTTGGCTGTTCTTTTTACGTGCTACAGAGTGAAACTACTATGACCTTTTCATTACCACGAACCCAAACGTCATACACTGCCGAACTTTATGCAATAAGCATGGCAATGGAATGGATAGGCATAAATCGCCCTTTCTCAGTACTGATTCTTTCGGATTGTCTTGGCGCACTTAAAAGTATCGAATGTTTCAATAGTTCATCTCACCATCTGGTTGCGCGAATAATTTTTATACTTATTAATTTGAGAAAAGAAGGTATCAACGTCAAATATATTTGGATTCCAGGTCATGTGGGCATATTGGGAAATGAAAGAGCGGATCAGCTTGCAAGATCGTGCATTGGAGACGCCGCTGTCGACAATATCCCACATACAGTACAAGAGGCAAAAACTGTAATTAGAAGTATAAGTTTGAATAAATGGAAATTTGAATACCAATCGTCGACCATTGCATCACATTTCAAAATGTTCATTCCGACAGCAGATTCATATCCGAACCTTTCTCTAACGCGATCCCCAATCAATTATATTCAGACTGGACATTGCAGGCTCTCCCACCATCTTTTTAAAATAGGCTGTCACCCAGATGGCGAATGCGATACTTGCTCCTGTACAAGAAACTGTAGCCCATTTTTATTATTTTGTCCAAAGTATATTAATGAAAGAAATATTTTGATAAATAATGCACATAGTTTTAAAATATTCCATTTCGAATTAAATACGTACTGTCTGATCCAAAAGTTATTCCTTATGTAATTAGGTTTGTTTATTCAACCCGCAGGTTAATATAGACATAGCTTACATACGTATATAATTTTCCGTGTGGCTTATATTTTACATTAATTCCGTATCGTAGGGAATTTTGAACTGCAATTATTTTGAAGTAGCGTGTTACTTACACTATGGTGTACGGCTTTTGTGGACCTGTTTTTTGTCAGAAAATTATTTTCAGTCTGGCGCACATAATTCTGGTAATTAAAAGCGCCATAACTTTTAATAATAATAATAAAAACGCACGCAACGCCAAACGGATCTAAGACTGATTAAATGCAGAGGGAAATTAAAAAATGAATGAAATAATCACAACAATGGCCCTCAATCCAGAGAAGGCGAGCGTAGACGTCTTGACAGCCAAAGGTTTTGTGAATATAGCATCAGTATCAGAATTTAGAGTAGGATTTGCATATTTATCCCTTGCGGTCATATAGCGAACCACGGTCTCTCGTCCGGTTTACCCTGATTGAGATATTTTATTTTAATCATGCAAGAAAAAGTGTATACCGGAATTAGAGAAAAAATCGAAATATACACATAAGGAATAACGTCAGGGTTTCATTGCAATCGATAAGGGGTCACGAAGGACTGTAACAGTAACACCAAAACATAAAATTATCATACTCGCCCAATAAAACGACCCCCCCCCAAAAAAAATCAGGCCAAAAATTTGGGTCTAGAAAAGCGACTGATACGCCGGGAAATACGGTAATTGGCGCCCTCCGGCTGCCTTTTCTAAACCATATCTTGAACATTTGTTTCTTTAATGAACGCCATATAATATCGGGCTAATAACACCGTTATATTATAAAGCAATGACGGAACGTGGCCGAGGCTGTTAAATGTACCCTTTGTGTCGATATCGATCGGGACTGGGCAAATACCGACTGGAACCCCAGGAGTGATATATCCTGAACCGGGAAGAATCTGGCCTTCAAATAACATGAACCTTCATTCATATTTTACCAGATTATGACAGTTTATGTGTCTAGCAGGGGTGGGCGAGATTTTTGAACCAGGAACCAAAAATTTTGTCCACCTAATCTAGCGCGCCATGTAAGTGTGACGTGAAATTTTTTATATCATGAACAATATTTACAGTGTTGCAGAGCAAAAGTGGAAAACAATGAGCCTCGTGCCGAAACTAAATTTAACCGCAGTCTCAACAAATTCCTTGAGCTATTTTTAGCTAAAACATCAAAATTTTGTTTCAGTTTAGCTGTGGCAGCATCAGGCGGGCCAGATTGAATTACCCAGCAGTTCGGATTTGTCCCGCGGGCTGTAGTTTGCCCATGCCAGGTCTAGATATATATTGCCATCGCAGTTCATAAAACCTCCCTCCACTCATACCATGGCTGCTTTTCAAGTAACTTGTTAACAAAGAAGGCGTAAAACATCTTTTGAATTTAGTACGTTTTCAAAGTAATCTCAAAAAATATTTTTTACAGAATTCGAACGGCGAAACTCATTCTACAACTGGGGAAACTATAACACTACCTGACGAGGTTTGGTATAATCGTTTTCCGTTCAATTCGAATTCTCACAATCAAATTACAATCGAAGCTAATAAGAATATACCATTATCAAGGACTCAAAAATTCTTTTTACCATTGGTGCAGTCTGCGAAATTTGAAACCGGATTGAAAATTTTGCTCAGTGGGAACTTTTATCAAAGAAATGTTTTTACTAGCAAATCAACACACCTTGGAGCTTTTGTACAAAGCCCGCGCCACTAAGGCAAAATTTGAGGAAAAAACGCCACATTTTAAAATAACCAATTATTTAATATTATACAGTTAGGCTTAGGAATGATTTGAAATTTTGAATTTCCAGCTCAATCTGCATTCTTATACCTAACTGAATAATTACCAGGCATGTCCATTGGGGACATATTTTTTTTTGTCCCATTCCCATCCCATAGGATTCACATTGGAATAAAATTCAATAATAATTGGTAATACAGACTTTGCCAATTTTATATTCATAACTGTTATACATGTGTCCATCAGTCCATTCACGAAGTCTATTTTTAATGCTGAATATATTTTGCTCTTTATAACTAACGTGAGAGCAATGCTCAAATATATGGACACGAAATCTATAACATAATGTTTTACCATCATTTTCCGAAAATCATACGATTTTCGTGTCCCATGGGAAATACAACTTTGTGCTGTCCCATCCCATTCCCATGGATAACCCTGTTTTTAAGCGTTTTCTTTGGTGGGGGATTTGTACAAAAGATCCGCATATATTCTTAAAGGTGGGTTATCACGGAACATTTTTTTGGTTGAATTTTATTCTACAAATTTTTTTAGAATTTTCAACGCTTTCCGTTTACACAAAATCGACTTAATTTTCGAGATTCGAATTTTTAAAAACCGCATCAGCAAAAATCGACTCAAGTTCGGACGCGGCCTCTGATGACGTAGTAGTGAGAACTCATTCCAGATTTTGTAGTCACGTCGTATGTACCGCGATTTACCGCTGATTTCTATATTTAATTCCATTTCTTTTTCGCGAAGTTTGATCTATAGAACAGTATTGCGGTATAGAACAGAAATGTACAGCTGTGGGATTCCCATGTAGTCAGGCGCCCAAGAGATGATGCTGTATGTTACAAACGCATCGCTGGTAGAGTACGGTAGGCTTTCATTTTTATAATTCAAATTGTTTCATGTGATATTTATCTAAGACACAGTTTTTCAAATTGTTATTTATAGCAACTTCGTACAAGTTCACATTAAGGGTTTTTAATCATAAAATCAAATACGTATAAACAATTTGAAACAAAGATGAGTGGCAGCGAATATGAGAGCAGTAATGAGGAGGATGAGATGTATATTGCAGCTGCAGGTGGTGTGGGGGGGTTCATGTACGAACCTGAATATACTGCTGAAGAGCTTACTGCACTGGAAGTCAGTAGCACTGAAAAAGAGCTGCATCATGAACGTCTGGGCAATACAGATTGGTAAGTTGATAATTGCAGTAGGCTACCGTACTACAATAAGTGTTGGTAATCTTCTACTACAGTAGTAATGGTTTGATAAAAAGTCTTACATACAGAATCAGTTAAACATAACTTGAATAATCATATTCCAATAAAGCAGTATTCCATTTTATCCATACCATTCTAGCGCACTTGTTTTTGCAGGTGTTTTTGTTCACACTGCTCTGAACAATCCAATCCAGCATCATGCATTTGTTGTCATGAAGCCCCAGCAGTCCAAAGAGTTTTGGAACGTTTGGCTACGCAGCATGGAATTGAGGTTCAATGCATTGTTGATCATCCTGGATTTGAACCAATATGCCTTAATGTTTTTGTTCTTGGAGCCACTTACCAAAGATCTGGGGCAAAATCAGTGCAGCTCCAAATGAGTAAGTTTATGTTACGTTTAAATATGTTTATCTGTCATTTCTTTCGATCTTATTGGTTGTATTTTTTTCAGGCGTAACCGTTACACTTCCTACCGATCATTCGTGGAGTGGTGTTGGGGCAGGGTAGGAAGAAAGATAAGATTTCCACTCCCATCTTGTGTGGTTGTGAAGATAAGAGAACATTTTGAATCCCCCTCATACACAGGATTTCAACCACCTTCACCTTAGAAAGAGTTTTCTCAGCGAACTGCATGAAAAAGGGCCCTTTTTAGGGCCAACCCAATATTTATAACAAGAGGCGTTGAAACAATGGAGATTTCAGATAAAAAAATTTATTGGCACAAAATAATTACCAGAAAATGAAACAATTGATGAAAAATAAACCAAGAAGGGCGAACGGATAAATTGCATTTGATGAACTATGGGCTGTGGAGCCGAGGTTGACATGTTTTTTTGACCTTTGGATACGAATTTTAAACTTAAATGGCCTAATTTGCAGAGATTAGTCTCTCTTTTCATTTTAACTTCTTAATAGTGATAACAATTTACATTTGAATTTTCTAAAACTACAAAAGCTTGCATAAGCCAAATTTGATTTCCTGAAAAGTTAGAGCCGAAATTGCTTGCGTGAATTTTTTTCGGCTCCACAGCCCTAGTTGTCAATACTTAACTATTAAAACGGCTTTGAAGCTCCTGATTTGCGAGCTCCTTATCTGGCCTCTCACACCTGGAAGACAAGGTTGGTGGTGGTGATGATATCAGTGACAGATCACCCTGGCTTGTGGTTGAACTGCCATCAACCTCTGAAATAACTTTCTGAAGCAAGACTTTCACATATGCTGTGAAAAAGATAAGTGAATCACTTATACTTCTGTTTTTCAAGTCGAACGTTTTATATTTTACGGACTCACCATAACACGGCTCAGAGCGTACTCTTCGAACAGTGTGCTGTCCCATTTTCCCCCTAGGATACAGGACCTCGTATTGCAGGCACCCATCCTTTGTTTTTGCCTGAGGTCTTCCACTATTAGCATTGTGGTGTAGAACCGCTAATAACATTCTAGAATAAACATACCCACCGTTAAAACTCGTTATTCTGTTTCAGATATTGGAATATTTATGGAACTCACCTGCAGAAAATTCCTTTGTAACCATACGACAGCATCTTGGGAGCAAAATGGTTCAATAGGGAGTGGAACCCTTCCAATCCAGATGTCTGATCTAATGGTGAGAGCTTTCGGATGTCTTTTTTGAACCTAAAGTTATCGAAAAGACTCTCCAATTCATCATACGCTCTCTGTCCTATTAAAAAAGTGATATATAAGACAAACCGCAATCACCAAAAACTTTACAGTATTTTTACTGGATCGTGATCCATTAAAACTCTTGTATTATTTACTACCTGGAAAAATCCATTTCTTCCTTTTTTCCTCCTCATCACCTAAAGGTGCATGTTGACATTCCATGTATAGGTTCCCATGTCCTGTGTGAACATTTCGGATGTGACGAAGTAGGCTCATGACTTTCTGCTCAACCATGTCACCATCGCCCCTGTCACCATCGCCCCCCGAGCTACCCGCCGACCAGTACAAATGGTTAATAATACTCCGCCTCCACTCTTGCAGTATGCCACAATCAGTAAGTTTAGCCTTTGAGTCAATCTTTTTACCAAGACCTTCAAAAATTTGAAATGCAATATATAAGATTTTTGAAACATTAATTTTATGCCAACTGAGTCCAGAAATTTAAAATATGGCACTGATGAAATAAAAAAAAATAACCTTTGGCAATGTGCCAAATGTCAAAAAAATGCTTCGTCCCAGATTCTCACAAACCCATTTCGTCACAGATGGGTGTCTATCTGTTATCAGTTCGCCAATTCTTATTCCCTCTTCTAAAAGTGCATCTATACCTCTCTTTAAACCCTCCAACTCCATATGGTTACTGCTCGTAACTTCATTTTTCTAATAACGAATAGTAAACATTGATATGAAAACAGAAATTATGTTGATTTTGGATATACACTACAACTTACCTGAATGAGTTTCATATCAATTATTTCATTTGTTTTTAGGTCCATGATAGTGTAGCATCCAAATTTGGCAGAATGACCTCGGCTATCAGCCCTGTCATCACCACCTATAGTCAATGGCATGCCCCTCCTCCCCGCCAGCAATGCCGCTCTTTGTTCAACCCAGGATGCAACAATCACCGGCTGCAAGTTTTTATCCTGGTGTCGTTGATATGTACTGAATAGGAAATGTCAAAGACTATAATGTTATGGACAGCAATAAATTAATTTGTCTAATTCAATATTTCACTGATAAATATTCCATTTTTGTTATGAATATGAAAAATACATATTACCTAACAAATTGTTTGTAATAAAAATGTACCTGTATGCGATGGTTCTTATGCCTGAGTTACAAAGCGATCGTAATACTTTTTTGGGACAAACTCCTCCAAACAAAATGGAAGCAGACAAGAGGATATTTCCCTCTGATATACCACCAATGGAATCCTGGCTTTCCCAATGCCGATTATACCCACACTGGCAACAAATGGCTTGGATTACCACCATGGTTCCAACCACCCTTTCTACATCGACGGCACAAATTCCTGAGCACTTTTCACAACTAGCAAAGAGTTGCAAAAGCTTATGTCGGCTAACGATGTATTTTTCCTTTACAGTTTCGTACGACTCTCCTTCTATAGAAATTAATTAAAAGTTAAATGAAAATGTCTATAAAATTTGCCTCCAAGGATTGATACTTACGCACTGCATGACTCATCTGAAACACTAATCAAGTCAGGGCTACTGTCTGTACTTGAGTCGTCATCCATTTCAGAAATCGAGTCGAGTCGACAACCATGTTTTGCTCCTGTGATTTGAACAGCTGCAATGGAGGTGCAGCTATCAAATCACATTGCAAGCCGACTGATCTTGATTGGATGCTGGATTGGCATGCTGCAACAGATATTTAATAATTAGAAAGAAGCATCTCCACAATAATATATAACCTGAATATATGTCTAGTTCTGAACCTTTACTGTAATTTCCACGTCTCTGTAAAGTCTGAGTTTGCTTAGACTGCTGTGTAACTGTCTGAAATGGCAACAGTTTAACAATCTATCTCTAAACTGTTTGACAAAATAAACTGCAATGAATGCTTTTGACTGACCATAATCTTATACCGCTCAACTGTTTTATTGCACACAGTATCTTATGGATCATAATTTTGATAAATTGGTGTTTGCTGAAAAAAAATTTAGAGGAATACCAATAGCCTGATCTTATATTAGTTTTCTAACCTTCTGTCAGCTGCCTAAATAACAGAAAATAATACTGTACCTGTGATGACGAAGCTTCATCATGTGAAAAGCCACTGGCGATCTGAAAAAAAAAACTGATAATTATGAATATATAAAAACTTGACCTGTCATTGAATAATTTCTTTCTACAAACCACCAATCCCTCCCTTTTCTGCACCACATATCTTTCTTTTTTCTTTTCTAAATCACTGCCACTTTTAATGGAAGGCACTGCAACTTCACTTAAAACTCTCTGGCTGCCCTCATCACAATATTTCATTCTCTCAACATAACTTTCAGGACTGAAATGATCACTGCAGATTAGTGGTCTTTTGTGTGTTTGAAACGAGAAATCAGACCGGGTTAGTTTTACAAATTTAACCCACAATTTTTTTCTTGCTTGATCTTTCGGAAAAATATGCAATGACACTCCATCTCTATGAGTGTGGGAGCAACCTCCAATTACACAACGGCTAGGCATTACTGATGCACGGTAAATACCGGTATATAACTTTGATTTACTATACTGCTGCTAGGTTTGTTGGCAGGTTGGTGTAACAGTGTTCAGGTGTTAGGTATGGTGCACTGGCAATGTAATAAAAAAATATTGGATTATAGATTTAGAAGAGAAAACAGAACCCGATATAGAGTGTAAAACTTAAGTAATTCATATATAAAGAATACCTAAAATATTAGAATATGCTGTCAATGCCGTACCGCACGGTACCGGTACCGTACCCTAATACTGTAGGCCCTACCGGTAATAGTTCAGCAGAAATACCAAGTACGGTACCGGTACACGGTAGTCTAATTGACCGCAGTTTGCTGAGTTCACAGTCATTGCCAACACTGCATTGAAATTATTTTAAAATACTGGTATATGTTAAAACATACTGCACCGTTTTAAACTGCAATGCCCAATAGAACCGACACACCATCCAAAATAAAATTGCGAAGTACCAAAAATGCCTTTAACCTAATGCAAAACTCCGTTGACGAGTTCTCACTGCTACGTCATCACGGGGCCATACTAATTAGCGTTCGATTCCTGACGGGTCGACTTTTAAAAATTAAGTCGATTTTATGTAAACGGAAAGCGTCAAAAATTCTAAAAAAATTTGTACAATAAAATTAAACCAGACAAATGTTCCGGGATAACCCAACTTTAACACTCTTACTATATAATTTTAAACTAACAAAATGTATTAACATGAATGTCATGGTGACTTTAACCTGCATCCCAATGGTACGAATTATTTGTCCATTTACATATTTCTACTTTTATTTTCATAGTAGTAGTAAATAGTACCGTCTACGTGAGTCGAGCAATCATTGCTAAGCTCAGAGAAAATTCGTCACCCCTTGTCCTGTTACAAGGATGTCGGACCTTTTTAATTAATCAGGCGTAGGCTTGCACGTAATTTACAGATTTACGGAATTACGGAATTATTTCCAGTTACGGAAGGGAAGTTACGAATTACGTAAAGTCGTAATTATTGGTCGAGCACTTTCGCGATTGAAACGAGCTCTCTTTAAAGCAGTCAATTCCGTCGATTGTAAAAAGTGAAAGTATAAAAAGTAGAAGAAGTTAGAGCTTCGGTATTTGCAGTCGTTTTTCTCACTTTTCTCTCTCTTGCCAATACGTCCCCGTGATAATTAATGTCGCGCTTATCAAACAGCAATATGACGACGGAAGAGAAATTGCGTAATGAACCAACGCAACTTCGTCTTTTCGGCGTCGGTAAAGCGATTGAGACGGCAGAGAAACAACAATATGACGGGATTTCCCGCGATCCGGTAAAAATCCTTTGCGGACCGTTGACGGTCCGCGGACAGGCGGTTGGGAACCACTGTTTTAGAATACTTAAATCGAATCCAGAATCCTATTCTATTTTTATAGTTACCCGTATTTAAATAGTGGGATTTCTCCACCACAATGCATGATTAAAATTAAAAAAAAAAGCTAAATTGTAGCCTAAATGTTTAATGTATATATAACTTTCTTTGTGCAGTATTTAATTGAAAATGTCAGGATCATTGGATTATATTTAACCAAGGCAACGAGATTTAAGAATTTCGACGATCGTTTTTTTGTTTCCAACAGTTCAATATTCTCAATTTAACTACTATCAAATATCAAGTATGAGCCAGTGTGTTTATTATTTGCGAGAACCATTTTCAATTACAAAACCTTGATGTTCTGTTACCGGTTTCATCGTTTTATATCAGTCCGGACTTATCCTTGCTCAATATATTTTCCACAATGCCTCGCAATATTTCGGCTCAATATGATTAACTGTCTTTACCAAATGCGGCAACTTATTTTGATTCTTGAATACCACCGACACTCGACCAAATTTGTGTCAATCTTGGCCGATAGGATCGTCGACTTGAGTTAGAAAAATAAGTTAATTTTTTCGTGAGTGCAAAATAAATGTCACAATATGCATTTTTTTGCGATATAACTTTGTATTTTCGGAAAAGCCATGTCATATAAGTACGGTATTTAAATTATGCGCAAATAATTAATATTTGATCTAAATTTGTCGCAAATAATGTTACAACATTTAGGCCGCGAAATGATTTGATGTAAAATGAAGCATGGTAATCGGAATAACGTCAATAAGTTGGCATCAATAATTATTATAAAATGCTGACTGTAGTGAATATAAAAAAGTCTTCGTCGCGAGGCAAGCGCAAGTATAATCAAACGAGAGAATACGCTCGTCGTGGCATTGGTAAATTGGAAACCCGACATTTGTTTTAATACGATTTAAAAAAAGTCAACTATCGTTTCATAAATATCCGTATACCAGTGTCGGTAATGATAAAATTGGGACGGTTAATTTGCGAAGGTGATAAAGGAAATCAAAGTTAGCACAAAATATAAAAATCAGAATAAAATTAATTTGAATTCACTCTTGTCTCAACATCCGTCGCCGGCGTGTAGTACTGCCAGGAATATGAAAACCCAAACTCGATGTCCCAATCGAAAATGAAGTGGATTCAATTGGTTGTTATGAAAGGTTTGAATGTGTGAAAAAATATCGCAATTACGGGGTCATTACGTAATCGATTTGGCCGTAATTACGGAATTGATTTTTGTCAATTACGTGCAAGCCTAATCAGGCGTATATTATATTTTTATCACAAGCGGAATGCTGTGAGCCATCGCTAATAACTAATTAAATAGCATCTTTTTTTGCAAATCTCACGATGCTTGGTTGGTTTGAGCCGTGTACGTGCAGCACCTAAACCAGGGCTGTGGCGATTTCTTCGATCTTTTGTACAAAGCCCCACTACTAATGCAAAAATGTGACATTTGAAAAAAACACAACCTCCGCGTTTTTAAATAACAAAATTAGTGATTCACCTATTATATAATTGTTATAGTTCTCCGTGTTGTTAGCAACTACAATTGTTATTATGGAGGCGCCTTACTTCCCAAACATTCACACCAACAATCAGTTCACATAGAAGTATAAGTATTGGCATTTACTCTTAAACACGGCACAGCATCAAACACATGTGGTACGGTACCTCTAGAACGGCGAAACATAGACCAGTCGTAAATATTAATGCGCCACTTTGTAAACAAAGAAAATAGGGCAAGCACGATTACGATAAAATAGAGGAATCTTGGTGACAAAAGAATAGGATTTTCCAAAGTTAGGATTTTGCTTTGAAATTATTATCGATGTTCGAAAGCACTTACATTTGCGGAAGCACTTTTTCCGTTATGAAGAGTTTGGAATCTTACATCAAATGTAGATATGGAAAGATTTTTGCAGATTTTAGTAAGTTTTTTCGTGGTTTTTGCATGTTTAAGTTTGATAAATGACAAATACTAATCAGTGTGTTTGCGCGATAAAAGTGTTTGTTTTGTATTGCACCACTGTTTACCTATTATCGTGGCCGCGAACAATGCAAAAATAATTTTGTGGCCCCCGGAGCCGATAGGGTTGCCAACTTTGTGTTAAACCATTCCGGGACACCTTAATGTCTAGAAACTTGAAAATTATAAGAAACAACGACTTGATAACAGTGGCGTAGCCAGCCCAAAATTTTGGGGGGGGCCAAATTTGAAAATTTTAGAAATTATATTGGGTTTAAAACACCCGTTCTTCAAGCGCAAAACAACAACAGTTGGTCAACAAGCAAACTGATTCAATTACTCAGCTGGATTTTTGTGAATACAAAATCCATTAATAAACAATTTTTTATTTGAAACAACAAATATTAACAACGCAATTTGAATAAGTAAAATACATCGCCCCGATTAAAAGTCCATCCTTCGCTTCCCGCCAACTATGCTCGACACAACTCGATTAATTTTCTCCTCGGTGACCATTTCACGGTGACAGTGAAGCACACACAAATCAGAAAGGCGATTGGACGTCATTGATGAGCGCAGCCATGTGTTTACCCGTTTCATGCATGAGAAAAACCGCTCAGCCTCAACGGTGGTTACTGGTAGCGTCATAACAATCTGTATTGCGGTGTACACGCTTGGATAATCTCGCGCTCAGAAGAAGCCCCTCCAAACATTCGTCGTTAACGTCGGAACTTAAAAAATTCTCCACAGTCTCACTTCATTCTGGAGGTTATCCATAAATACAGACGCTCTACCTCATCCACGTGAACTGGTTTGTTCGGGGAAGAATTGATAGCAATGAAAAAAAATGATGGGTTGTCAATGAAGCGTTCCCGAATAGAGCAGCTCAAGCCGTCGACGTATGGGAGATATACGGAACGCTTAGAATACTGGGATGCTGAATCAGCACAGACATTGTCGCGATAAACTTGTACTTCGACTACTCTGGGTATTGTCAACTCTTTCAAGCCAGCTATTTCACAAGCTTCTTTGTAAATATTCAATGCGATTTCAGAGTCATTGCGTTCTTCAGCGATAACGCTCTGAAGAGAGGATGTGAGGTTCTTTACTGACGGCACACTGACCCCGACCGCCTGAAGTGCGCGCGGTAGTGGCGAATATCGACCAATCAAACATACGGCGTAGATAACCGACGACTTTTTTAGAGCAGATTTCAGAGAAAAAGCCTTCGCCCGCGTCTCACTGTTAGCATCTCTCGCCAAAGAATCAAGAGCCTCAAGTACTCGTTTGATGTTGCATTTGAAGATTCGGATGCTCTTGTAACTTCTCAGACCATCTGGTGGGAGCAAACAAAGGGTTGTTAAATTCCTAAACCCGCGCGCCTTTCAGGGCTCTCCCTGAAAAAACGAATAGTCTCACGATATGATATCACAGGTGCTTCTGATGATCGCAACTTTACTTTGGTCATTTATGAACCAAATTCAAACAATGAGAAGCGCAGTGCACAAATATTGCGCGCGGGTATTTATAACGAATGCGTTTTTGCACACCGCTGACGTGACTGCCATTGTCGTTGCACCATCATAGCCTTGCCCCACAAGATTTTGCAATTCATTCCCATACCAGAGAGGTGGGTCAAAATATTTGAGGAGATTGATTCGGCAGAAACAGAATCCATTTCCACTAATCCTGTGAAGCGCTCGCACACTTCACCACCTTTCACATACCTCAAAACGATGCTTAGTTGTTCTTTCCCAGAAATATCACATGATTCGTCGGCTATTACGGAAACAAACGATTTATTAGCCTCCATAACGATATCTTGCACTATAATGTTGCTTGCTACCTTGAGAATTTCATTTTGTATCATCGGTCTTTGTATACTTAGCGTTTCGGCCATTCGAGCGAATGCCTTTTCAAATCTTCATCCCCTGCGTCGATACGAAATAGAAGAAGTTCACAAAATTTCCATTGTCCCCCGAAATGTCCGCGCAAGGGTATGTTACCCGAAGCACAGAACAAGACAGTCTTGACGATGGAAGTCATTTTCGTCTGTTTTCTTTCGTTTGCGTAGCATAATTGGGCCTCCACGTTTGCAACGCACATTTTGACCAGTTTCCATGCTTTTGACAGAATTTTTCGCAGCTATATTTGATTCTCGATGGTAATTTGTGTCTCGGTGTGCTACAGCCTTTTCCATAAATTTTTTGTAGTCAATGCATGGTCTTGTAACAAAGGCAGTGTCCCTGAGAGTTCCATGCTTCAAACGTGCTTGCATGACTATGCATATCTTACACAAACCACCCCCATCAGAGAGTTGGGTGGCGCGGCGGTGTGGCTCAACGGGCTAAGCGTTAGGAATACGCTCGCCACCGCACCTCTAATTACTCTGCGTGGGTTCGCAGGTTCGAATCCCATGCAGGGATGGTTATGTGCGAGAGGATTGCTGGACTCCTCGCCGTCGTTGGGTGGTTCACGTAACCGCTGGTCGGTTACGGCTTCCTCCACCACCAAGTCCATGCTTCCGGAAACAAACAATATATAACTAATCCCATACCCGACTTGGAATGGTAACCGGACGAGAGGCCGTGGTTCGCCATATGGATAAGCCGTCTTATCGGCTTTCCTCTCCCCCGGGATAAATATGTAAATCCTATCCTATCCTAACTAACCAACTGCAAAATCTGTTATCGCCATTTTTTGAGAAATTTACGACGACTTTGTCTAACAGTATCCAGAATCGTCACGTTTTTCGGACCATCCGAAGTTAGAAGCCTGTATCTCTCCGCATCGGTAAGCTGTGTATGTTTCTTAAGAATAAATCCAAGATCGTTTGTTTTCCCTTCGTTGATTATTAGTTCATCTTCGGGAATAGAAGTGATAGACGTAACTGACGTAACCGGTGCATCCACAGCCTGAGAAGCGCTTATTGATGTATTTGAGGAAAGCGAGTCTTTATTTCGCTGAAAAAAACTATCGAATTTCGCCTGTTTAAATTTAGCCATCGAAGTAAATTGGTCATCAAAATCCAAGCGTTTCGAATAAAAATCCGGCGAGAACAAATCAAGACCGAAAGCTTGCGTAACGGTCTTTCCCATACTGCTCATAAGAGCGAACGGTCAAGCCTTTGTGACGTAACAATGACAATCAGTAAACTGGTGGAATAGGAATGGAATTCTTAAAAATTTGGGGGGGGGGGGCCATGGCCCCTCTGGCCCCCCCCCTGGCTACGCCTATGCTTGATAACATAAGAAAGACGATCGGATTCGCCCATGAGGCTCGTTTCAATCAGCGATGCCATGTTGGCAGGCGAACAGTGGCAGATGATGCGAGGATTTGTATGTATGTTTATTCGTATCGCAAAAGCAATATAAAAGAGTTAGTACTCATCAATATTGAAGACGGGGTGTATGCACAAGACCATACTGGCCTAAAACACACGGATGTGCGGCATGCCTGCGCTTGATATAAAACGGAACATTAGAAAACGCCCGCAGGACATAACATGATAATTCGTCTGTATTATTGAGCGGTTATCATTTATTATGCTTGGTTGGAGCTTTGTTAAACAACAATTGACATTTACTCTCAAACAGGGCACAGCATCGAACACACGTGTTACGGTACCTCTAAAACAGCGAAACGTAGACCAGTCGTAAATATTAACTCTTTGAACCCTGAAAGCCGCTATAGCGGCTTTCCCGAGAAAGTCTTCTGACGCTGAAAGCCGCTTTCGCATCCCGTAAGAGGTATGCAACTTTGAAACCTCATATCTTGCGAACCATTTATTATATTTAGACACGTTTTACACCGTGTGAAAGATAATCTACAGGACTAAGTATAATTTTAAAATTGAAATAAAATATTGTGATCATCTTATGAAAATTGGCAAAATTAAAAAACATAAAAAAATTCTGAAAATTGCTCAAATCTAATTGACAAAACTTCAATTTGTTTTCGATTAAACCTGGTACATTATCGAAAAAAATTTGAAGATAGCTTTCCAGTGATACCATTAGATTGAACTTATGTTGCACCATTCAAATTTTAGAAGCATTTTTATTCGTGATTTTGTTTGTCGTAAGATCGAGGCGACGTCAAGGTGACGTAAATAACGACCGAACACATTTACGCCGATACGCAGCGACGTTAAGCAATTACGTTGGCACGTAGCACGTTTACGTTTCATACGAGAAACACTTTTCCTCGCATGCTCGTAAAGTCATTTACTTGAGTTCGTACTCGTGAAGCGACTAACGACTTGTAAACGATACACGGGGAAATTTACGCATTACATCCAGCCTCAAAATCTGTTCGACTAAAATACACAATACGCAGTGTTATTGCCGTTTTGATTGCATAAAGATATGAAAAATACGAATAACAAAAATAAGGATTTCTAAAAACGGAATGATGGAACATATCGATGGATGCATTGTTTAGCGCCATTGCTGAGTTTTATTGTGCCATATTTTCTTGGACAAAGCTGTCGTTTAAAATCCATTGTAAATATAGAGATATCAGGAATATAGCGTATATGCAGTTGTAGCAAGTACATAAGGATAGTTACTGTGTATTTTAATATTTTCACCACTTATTGTTAGTAGTGCATGTTATTTGCCTGAAACAAGGTCGTTGTCCCAATTCATTTCCTTTATGATATATTTCTCTCACTCAGTGTAGCTTGTCTTTGCCGTTCTTTGTTAGTTAGAAATTTAGTTTCATCACATATACTTGCTTTAAGGTTTCAAGTGTAATTCGTTATTTGGATCAATTCGATTGTGCAACTTTACAATATAACATTTGGCATTCAATACATTGTGTGCTTATTGACCTCTGAAGGAGTCAAGATCGGAGTTCAATAACACGGGAGTGTGGACACGCAGAAAGGGTCGAATCTTTGTTGCCCTATATTTTGGTGATACCCGTTCGTGATCAATAAGCAATCAACTTCAATTCAGC